TATTGTGTCCAAATTTTTATGATATATTTAATATCAATAATATATGTATATGCATGCTTTATTTTACTTTACACGACCTCTAAAAATGCCCCAAATCGTAAAAATACGACTTTTTGGATTTCGATCTCCTTTTTTCGGCTACCCCGGACATTTTCAAAAAATGATACAATGATTTCACACAACAGGCCAGCTATTAGCCTCTCGATTGACAAGAGTTTCATCGCCCTCCATTCATTATAACCAATGTCATCGTGCCCTAAAGAATCAACAAATCAGCTTGCTTATCTCTGCTTACCCTAGGCAAAAAATGCTCATCTTTGAACTCAATCATGACATTGACCTAGTGAACGCCTACACCAAGTTTGAACATTCTAGCTTAATTAGAAGGAGAGTTCTTGTGTTCCAAAGTCCCGGCCCTTCAAATTGCTTCTATTTTTCATTTTCAATTCAAAATGGTGACCATCACGTGACCGAAATCAAAATTCTGATCCGATAGATTTTTAGGCATTCCTTCCAGGATTCCGAAAATATGACGCCCGAGTCTGTAAGTAAAATAGCAAAAAAGCCTTTTTGATTTTTCACGTTTAAAGATGGTGGCACTTCCGGTTCGATCGACAAACTCCATATTTTGTGTACGAATCAGTAATTACTTGTCTAGTATCGAATTTTTTTTTTAGGTCATTCTGACCTATATTTCGACGATTTTTTTGAAAACTTTGATCCTTAATTTCACCAAGGGGAGATAATTTAGAAAATTTCCAAGGACATCATTGAAGTCGCATTGGCAAGATCTACTAACATTCTAAATTTCACGAAAATCGCACAACTATTAAAGAAGTTGTCAAATTGGTAATAACTTCCGGTTCGGAATGACAGCGACGAATTTTCGAAATGCCAAAATCCGAAATTGCAGATTTGAAGTAAATGTTTCAAGATACTCAAAGAAAAAAGAATTAGTAAAATAGGTCAAATAGTCACAAAGTTACAGCATTGTAGGTCAAATGCATTCCTTCGTAAAATTCGGTGATTTCGGATTCGTAAAACGTTTTGAAAATATATTTAATCAACAGCCACCACCCATTTTTGGGGGGATAGGTAAAAGTTTCAGAACGATCCTATGGTTAGATTCTGAGAAATCCGATTTGTGGACAAAACACAAAAAAAAATAACAATAATAATCTTAACAGAAACAATAAGCTTTCATATGTAATATGAAAGCTTAATAACAATAATAATCTTAACAGAAACAATAAGCTTTCATATGTAATATGAAAGCTTAATAATAATATCTTTATTTTCAAAGGAGAAAAATTAGGCTTAGAGCCTGTTTACAATTTTGCCCTTTATAACAAAGAAATGAAAAAGACAGTAACAGAACAAGACACTTAACAAATACTTAAAGTCCATCTCATTTTATTTCATTTCATTTTGTAATAACCCCAGCCCGTCGGTCACTTTCAAGGTTTTGAGCAGATAATTCTAACCATGTTGATATACAGGTTAGCGCCCGTGTGCTGACCACTAACTCGGACAATAATGTATATATACCTGCAAATTACACCCAAATGAACCCAAACCGAACGCTGAACGTGTTTACATGGTGACAAATAATGTATTGACTATATTACTGAGTGGCATCGATTTCTAAATGCCATTTATTAAAGAGCAGGATGAATGTCTGTACAAGAAACTGGCTCCAAGCAGTAGCGGATTATCAGTGAGGCTGATGAAGCTGCAGCCTCAGGCCCAAAGAGTTTGTAAAAAAAATATTTTTAGACTTGTCTGATACGATTAAAAACGCATAGACAATGAATGTTAGGGGGGTGGGGTTTAGGCCCAACGGGAATCAACATAGGCCCTGACCCGAAATTAATTAGGCCCACGCCATAGGTCTACAATGTACGTTAAATCCTTGTAAGTTTTCGGTTATGTCTTGCTTAATACCTGCAAATTGTATCCACGTGACGTCATTTATGGGCATATAAAGTTACATTACCAATATCAAACGACTTTGGCTTAGTATAGTCATAGATAATACCGTATGATTGCCGACTCGTCTTTAGCCCTTTACGTGATGTTGCGTTCTGGTTCGTGCGCATATTTTTTTGCGCAGGGGGGTGTTTACTTCCGGTCTAAGTTTCGATAGTACGTACGCACAGTGACACGCGAAATTGACATTTTTGAAACTTACGTTTATGAAATTAATAAAATGAACACGTATATAAAAATTATATGAAAAAAAAGAACAAGATATCTCCTTCCAAAATATTTTTAGAATATTGCAAAAGATTAAATAGCTACTGTGTGACGTTAAGTTGAAAAAAGGTTACAAATGGGCAAAAAATGCCTTTCTATTTCTTCATTCATGAATCATGTACCGTACCAATTTACACTAAAATTAGGAAATATTTCTGATATAGAGATAATACTTCAAACACCTTTATTTTTATTTTTCTAATACTTCAAAAAAAATGTTCTACAATTTAATTTGCAGAAGGAAAAAGGTTATATTGCGAGCTAACTAACCCGCACCTCTGTGCCACACACAGGCCTACGGTATAGGCCTATCTATAGACAGTAATTAGTAATAGTATGATTAATAAAATTAGATGTTGCATTTTATTATCAATTGCATGGTATATTAGAACAGTTTTAAAAATCTTGTTTATATGCAAATGTGCATTTTTTTTTAATAAATTCAGCTTTGTTTGTATACTTTAGTTGATAAAGATGTAAATATCCCTACAAAATTCTTTTCCAATCTAGGCCTAATTAATAATTTTAGAAAATGGCCATTTATTTATTTTAAGTCCCTCTGTCATTTAATTTAGTTAATTTTATAAATGCAGCCCCCCCCCCCCCCCCAAAAAAAAAAAAAAAAAAAAAAATACACACATACTTTTTTTTCAGCTTGCACAACTGGAAAAAAGTTTACTTATATAAATCCACCCCAATGTAAGCAATTATTTCATAGTCTTTTTGATCTAGGCTTTGTTGAGAAATTAAATTAGCTTCAGTAGATATAACAATTATATATAAGGAAAAAGAAAACACTATTAGTATTAAATAAAAACGGAATTATTGCTTTAGTTATCAATGAAAAGGAATTTTTGTTCTAAAATAGATTCTTCCAGGAATCCTGTACATTAAAAGATTTACAAGAGTTGATAAAGGCAACTTCATCCTTGATATCTGATATTTCAATGTTGGCCACACCAATTTGATTTCCTGTTCTTCGGGCTTCGATATAAAAATAAATAGCTAATTAAATCATGTGAAAGATGTTTTGTTTAAAAATTTGGAACTATAAGCTTTTGAACAGTACAGCCAAGTACTTTTGGTGTTTAAATAGATGTATGTATTTTTCCAGAAGAACCAAATAAATAAATATAATGAACGTCCATTTCTATAGCGCCAAAATTCCGCAAAAATTGTGTTCATAGCGCTTGGCAAAACATACCTACACAAAGTCTTTAGCTCTAAGTTATCACTTGTTTGTAACAGATGAGTTTTTAAAAATTGTAAGGCACTACATTTATCTCATCATGTTGTTTATATGAATATATGATTACGGTATCCAATATCATTCATGTCATTAACATTTAACTTGTTTGCATACTTGACAAATTAGCCTATAGATCTAGTCAATTTTTTTTACAGAGTTACTTCGTGTAACCGGGGAAATTAACAAGACTGTTTTGTTAGGGTTTTTTTTAAAAAAAAATAATTAAAACACGTCATCCAAGCGAGAACCAAAATATATTTCTTTGTGTCCTAAATTAAAATAAAACAATAACAATAGAAATAAATTTGAAGGGGAATTATGTAAGATTTAGATAAAGAGCTGGTCGTTCTCGTTATTAACTATAACATTTCAAAAATAGATAATGCAAATTGAATATATTGAAAATTTACCACCATACCGTTCTAATCTATTTAAAATCTGAGCAATCAGATGGCATCGAGAGTTGATTATGGTCTTTTCATGTAAATAAATGTCTAATTGATAATTTACATAACATTAAGACCCAAAGAAAGACCTGCAATAAGCAGATTTAGCTCTTACATCATGCCTGTTTAACATTTAAAAACGCATCTTTAATTAACAATACTTTTATGATAAATTAATAAATGTATTATTAAATAAAGCGATCAGACAATGTTAATGTTACATAATTGGATGAATAATTATATAATTTATAGGCACCTTATTAGATTGAAATACCAACTCTTCTTCCTCAACTGATAAGATTAAATTATTTAAATCAAAAAATGCAATAGCCTAATATTATTGTTAAGATTAACTTATTTAATTGAAACAAAAATTGTAGGTTATATTTTTAATGATTAATTTAATTACATGGAACAGTAAACCCATATCCTTAAATATCGACCGGCAACTATTTTTAAATATTAATTTTTCTCCAGAACCGTGTTATTTCCTGAAAAGCCATACATCTCAGCATTGTAACAAAACCAACCTTATCAATATCGGAGCAAAATTGACTGAATTCTGTAACACCAACTGGCAGATCCCTTTTTCGCAAAAATTGGTCATTTGGCTTCAATTCTCAACCTATTTAACCATCAACATAACCATACAAACACATTACACATAGCTTGAATGGTTTATTTTCTGATGTTTGAAATACATAAAATTAAATAATTATGCTTAATTCAACTATACAAAATTAAAATCAATAATGATATAATACAATCAAACAATTTAAACCAAATCCCTTGTTGAGTATTAAAATAAAACAAATAAAATAATGAAAATAATAATATCCCCCCCCCCCCCCAAAAAAAAAAAAATGAAATAAAAAAAAAATAAAATATAAATAAATAGATACATAAAATAAAATACTTTATCAATATATTAATGTCTAGTGTCTCAATATTTATACCCCCCCCCCCCACACACACACACACAATATGAAAAGAAGTAAATAACATAAATAAAACATACAATTATTTATCAGTATCACAATAAATCAACATGAAATATATTTGCTTTACAAGCTGGCACTCCCCTAGGCCCCTAGGTAGCAAACAAAAGACGGGTACCAGTACGTTCTGCTGAAAATACAAAAGATTTTTAAAAAAATTGTGTAATTAAAAGCTTATATATAGCCAACACAGCAATGTTATTATTCATACCAAACTGTATTTTATATATTTACGATTTATTAATGATCTGCAAGTATTATTTTACAAATTAATGAATTGAAAACTCTATTTTGCCGATTTTTAAAAGTAGGTCAAAGCTGTCAAACTCTGCCTTAACTGGACAACACACGTGTCGAGATTTTCATGAAATGTAATACTTATTTATAATACAATATAATATCAAAATTATAAGATATTCATTTTTATTCTTACCTCGAACATTGCTTCTATTTCTCGTTACCATTTAACCAGATGATGCCACATTTAATACTACAAGAAAGCGCTAAATAAAAATATCGCTACTGGGCCTATAGTAAACAAACAGCGAGAACAGAAGACCGGAAGTGATCAACCACCTTTCTCGCCGTTTCACGCGTTTCGCAACATAACGTCGAGAATTCATGAGTCGGCAATCATACGGTATTATCTATGGTATAGTCTAAGACGTCATACTAGTTATGACGTGATTGTAGGCCCCTGGATAACCTCAGTAACGAATCCCGTTTTTAATGTTAGCAACTACCTTGGCTCTAACTTTAAAAAATAAATAGGCCTTCCAGCAACTGCCGCCTCAGGCCTTGGAGGAGCTTAATCCGCCACTGGCTCCAAGCGCTACTCACCGTGCTGTTCAAAACGAAAAGGCCTGTAGTTCCGTCAATTAAAGATCAGTCGACGTGACAGCGTTCTTTGGAGAATTGTGCATCGATTGACGGACTTCGATTTGAGGTCACAATTCCTGGTCCGTATATTACATGTTTTAATTACATGATATTTGTGAGACTAGGTGGCTTAATCAAATTTGCCATATTCACAACTAAATATAACGCAATACTAGACAAAAACATCGACTTTATTAACAGTTTAAAAATACGTCATTGGAGTGTAATGTGCATAAACAGAGTTTAAAAAAAAACAACGTTATTCTGTTAAAAATACGTTATTGGGGTATGATGTACATAAACAGAATTTTAAAAATATGTTATTGGAGTGTGATGTACATAAACAGAGTTTAAAAATACGTTATAGAAGTGTGATGTACATAAACAGTGTCTACAAAAATACGTATTTACATTAATTTTTTAAGAAAGATTAAAGCAGCAGTGAGTGACATTACAGACAGGCTGATTTTAGCCGTGCACGCTCCTGAAATTAGAATTAAAAAATATAAGAAGTTTTAATTTAAAAATATTTCATGTTTTAAAGCGGAAATTTTACTGAATTTGTTAATAAAGACACCATTTTTTTTAACCGGTTGTCTAATGTATGCGGTTTAGATCAAAGAGTTTGCCATTGGGCCAAAGGATGTGTTGTTTATCCCATGTTTGTATGGAGCGCATGTTCAGCCATGTGTATTTTCTCTGGGTCCCCAGGTTTCGTAGTACTGTTAAATACACCAACTGAGTGCTATGAGGGAATCGAACACAGGCCTCCAAGATGAGAGGACCAACATCCTACTCACCACTCAGTCACCGTGGCTCCCTCTCAGTGTGTAAGAGATGCTGGCTCGTTAACTTGGAAGTCGCGTGTTCAATCCCGGATTTGATCGCGAAACTTCCCGCGTCGTTCCCCCTTGTCAGTGATGTAAGGCGGAGGGCCTGGCAAGGGACAACGTATAGTCGTTCGGGTAGGACGAAAAAAGGAGATCCCGTGTACATATTGGCGTGCACGTAAATGAGCCCTTGACAGTTAGAATTCGAAATAAGAGTAGATCACAGCGCCGCTGTCCGGGAAAACATTTCACCCATAGCACACTGCATGGCAATCGGATTAAAATACAGATCTATATTTCGTTTCGTTTTTTTATACTTTCGATGGCCTACACTACATGAAGATCTGACCGGTTGTAGCGATAGGTCGCGTCAGAGGTCATACGAGAGGCTTTTGACCCTATGACGTCAGACATTTGATTAACCAATCAGCATTGATGTTTCTAGTAGATTACCCACAGTTCCGTGCAAAACACGCCTAAAGCTCGCCGTAACAGACCGTTTCATTGGCTAATTCCGCACACCATTCAGAACAGGTCAATGATAACAACTCTTCCAGATCCTAGTGTAGTAAGACAAGTAAAACGAAATTTTGGACTATAAAAATGAAACGAAATAGGATATGTGTTTTAATCAGATTGATTGCATGGCGTATGTTCGTCTTCATTAGCCTAGTTCGAGCACAAAAGTAGGACGTTACACCCCATTTCATTTTATTACATATTTTACCTGTTCCACTATTTACTGCACCATTTCTACCTTATACCTAAACTCGACCTAAATATACTGAATGATTAAATGAAATGAGGTTTAATGACGCGTCCGCACCAAACGGGATATGTTGCGCCAAACTTACGGTGATTTATTCGAGACAGGTTAAATATACTGAATAATCTATACTCACCGCATTTAGCGGATGTCATAAGAGAATTATAAGAATTTTCAGCAGCCCCGCTAAAACAGGCTGCATTAACTACACATGTTTTGTACGTTGCTAGTGCGCTATAAAATAATAAAAAAAAAGAAGACAAAGAATGAATTAAATGTAGATTTTGTTCATAAGTCCGATCTGATTTAAAACCCGCCCATTTGTATGCGTGTGGAGGCCGGTGTCGGAGCATGTTAAGGTTTATATACCCTTCAATGTCTTTCTTCAATTAAACAAAAGCAATATCCCTAAAACAGGTGGCATAATTAATTGGGTAGCCAAAAATGTCCAAATCTGCAAGGGTGCACGATGGCTGGGTGAGTAAGGCGCTAGCTCACTAACCAAGGGGTCCGGGTTTCTATGCCGACGGTGGCCGGGAAAGCTCCCGAGATTTTCCAGGTTGTTTTCACCTTGTCAGTCATGCAGGGCTGAGGGCCTGGCAAGGCTCAGTACCCTGTGGTTTGGATGGCACGAAAAACCTAGGTTCCGTGTACACGTTGGCGTGTATGTAAACCCTTGACAACGACCCCCTAAACCTAACACAGTTGTCCTCGCAGCACACTGCATAGGCCATACCCGTCTTCCTTAGCCAGTTGAAGCAGCAAAGTAAGTTTTTTTTTCAAAATATCAGTTTTGCATTATCACATCTTTGTAAAGCAAAATCGGTCGAAATCAATGGGGATATCTAGCAGGAGAAATATAAACAAACAAAATCAATATAATCTGAATTTTTACTTTCCCGGAACCATTCAGGGTCTGCCACATTTGTTTTAAAACCACCCTGCTTTCTAGGGGACGTTTGCTCTAAGCGTAACTTAAATAAAAGTGTTATGGCGTTAAATATATTAAAACATTTACGTACGTGCAAATATTGGCTGAGCCGCCGGTTGGCAAACTGCAACTTAAAAGAGCTGAAGAGTCACAAGCATCTACACAGGATCTTGAACTAATGACTGAAAAAGTAAAATACAAGACAAACGTCTTTATATAGTATACTGTGGGGAAACAGGATACTTGGCATGTGATTGGGATGGTGAGACTTCATCCAATAACATTGAATGTCAGTGGTGAATCGAGACACATATCCGGACCTGAATATAACATTCAATTTCATCAGCTGCATCATATCATAAGGCCTGTCATTGAGTCAACTGGCGTGGTTTCGAATCCCCGGTTGTACGTGACAAGGAGTAGGGTTGCCTGTCCAACCTAGTGGGTTTTCTCCGGGTCCTCCGGTTTCCTCCCACTGCTAAAGACCCCTAAAATTAAACATATGTTAGTCCCGAAATGACCTAGTTTGTGTCGAGTGGACGTTAAACCCCATCATTGGCTGCACTTTCATGAATAAGCAATCTCGGGCAATGAAATTAAGCACGTGGTACATAACTGAAAACGGCGACATTATTAAGTCTATATATTGCATTAAAATATGACCTGTTGATTTAGAGTCAAATCGACTATTGGCATGATGTAAACATATCGACATAGTTTTTGTCGTTTAGAGGTGAATTTAATGCGTCGAGTCGACTTATTTAGTCGATTTTTTGTAATATAACTCATGAAGTTGACATATTTTAGTTCGATGTGTTGCGATATTATCTCAATAAGTAGTGACCCAAATACGCTTCCATATACCGAAAAACTATATCCCATGTGTTGCTTCATGTTAACATTGTTTTAAGCCAAGTTATATAAGAAAGATCTGACGTGAGTATAAATGACAAATAGTACATGAACATCACAAAGTTGTAAAGTTGTACATATGGTCGCCTTTAACAATTATTTCGCTTTGTCGAGTCGCGACTTGTCGCCTCGGAAGTCAAGCATTCTTCGGTTAAGTATGGAAGCCTAATCTCGACGAGGCAAGGGAGCAATCATTTAGCATTGGTTTTTGCTTGCCATACCTGAAAATTAGACAGATAGGATTGAAAAAGATCGTTTGATTAAATTTACTGCTAACGACCCATATTATACTTGTTTTAAAATTAGGAATCTATATTTCAGAAGAGAGTTAGTTTTATATGTTGATATGTATTCTATATATCATGCTGTCAATATATCTATCATAATTGAGAATACACTATGCTACCTTTGCTATAATCAAAAAATATTTAAAATTTAAATCCCTTTTTCTTAGGATGTTTCTAGGCAAGTTTCTTTTACGGAATACGCTAAAGCTTTTTCTTGGCCACATCCGAATTTCAAATCTCCCTGACTTTTACCAAAAATTGGGAGTGACAGCACCGCTGGTTCACTAACCAGAAGGTCTGTGTCCAGCATGGCTTCACCAATATCCAACGGCGTGCGCGTAATGGTACCATTGTCAGTTGGAAGTTTAAATAAGAGTAAGCCGTGGAGCCGCTGTCTTGACAGGTCTTGACACCCTGTCTCATAACACACTGCATTGGTGCAGAAAGGTACCTTGCTTGATAAACTATGCCACAGTTTAAATAAACGTGGTCTGTCCCTAAAACGTTTGTTTTTGTTTTTAAAAATGTATTTTTCTAATAAAAACAATATAGTTTATGACGTATTACCACCAGGAACGTTCAAATAATAATGATATGTGATTGAAAATGAAATGAAAAGAAATGGGTTTTGTCGTTTTATTGTTCTCCTCTGACAAGGGTAATGAAGACGGGCATACGCCATACAGTGTGCTATGAGGGAAATTTTGTCCGGACAGCGGGGCTTTGGCCTACTTTCATATCGAATTCAAACTGTCAAGGGATCTTTTAAGTGCACAGTGCAGACCAATGTGTACACGGGACCTCGGTTTTTCGTACCATCCGAAATACATATAGCTGGCCTTGTCAGGCCCTCCTTCTAACTGACAAGAGGAAAACATGCCGGAAAACATATGTGATTTGAGTTGGAATATTAGTAGATTGATTATTGCAAATTTGTATTTGTTTGGACAAATTGTGATGTTGTTGGTAATCAGGTTGGGGCTGATTCTGCGATCTTTATCATATTTCAATTTTCCAAATAGTAAATCATAAATTATTTATCAAAGGGGTTAACGTTTGGGGGTATGAATTGGGAGGCGACGTCGCTCTTTGTCACATCTTGAATGGTAATACGTGACACCTCATGATCTAAAGACCATTCGACAGTCCACGCTTATTAACTCGGACTAAACAACCGCATTATATTGATTGTACATTTGATAAGTTGATATTGAAAAAACTGGTTGCTAGCAACAATACCGTACCGACTCTGTTGGTTGTGGTCGGTAAATAATTAACGGTGGTTGGTACTTACTGACTAATGCATTCTTTTCTTTTATATAATTCCACAAAGTTGAAAGAAACTGACTATTTATGTCGACCATTATCCTAATCTTAAGTTCCCAAGAATCTATAGCGAACAAGTATTTCCAACTTCTGGCTCATTCGTTCAACGAATTAAACAAACAGGGACAATTACTTTACAATACTGATTTATAAACAAATATGATAAACATAAATTTGTGATCTCTATACTACCGATTCTTTCAAATCATCTCGTATTTACGATATTTACGCGTTTCCGCCAATTTTGTATTCTGTTCTAAAAATTACCGGACATTTAATTTTTAAATGAGAAGGAAATGGAACGCGAGTAACTAGTCATGATGATATTAGAAGGCGTCTTTTTTTAAATACCATTTAATGACAAGTCTTGTATTCACTGATCTTTTTTCTTTTATATTAAAATAATAGGCCATATTATCGTCATTGGTTTTCTACTTATTAATTTGTTTTAATTTTGACATTTTAATACTATTTATTTAATTCATTGTTCGCTTTTAATTCAGATATCTTGTAGTCTAAAGAATATAATTATTCGTTCAGTTTTATCTGTTGTTTTGTTTGATTTGATTCAGACATATCAAATATTCATTCATCTCTAATTAGTTTTCTTCGACCATTCATTAATTTATTCAGAAGCTGTAGATAATAAATTCATCAAAAATCGGTATGTCCAAGACTTCATTCATTAGTCAAGTTGGTGAAGAACAGTTAAACATGCAACCCCATTTCTTTTTATTTTCCATTCAAATTTAGTTACACAGATAGAACTATTTTGATTTTATTCTGAAGCCATACTAGTCTAGTGTCAGGTGTGATAGGATTTTAATCTGAAACTGAAACTTGATTTAAAAAATACCTTTACTATTTTATGAGATAATATTACTAGTATGTAACATTATTTAAAGAAAGAACACTCGTTATTTCATGGAATGATCTAAAATAATAGTATTTCATGGAATGATCTAAAATAATAGTATTTCATCATTGCATGGTCTAAAGTAATGGTATTTTGTAGAATGGTCTAAAGTAATGGTATTTCGTAGAATGGTCTAAAGTAATGGTATTTCAAAGAATGGTCTAAAGTAATTTCCCAATGGTTAATATATGTCTATCTTAAAACATATTTCGTTATGACGGATTGGAAATTGAATTTACCAATGGTTAATATATGTCTATCTTAAACTATATTTCGTTATGACGGATTGGAAATTGAATATTAATATTAAGAAAAACAATTTTGATATTTGAAAAACTACGCCCAAATGCTGACGTGTTCTAGTAAACCGCATTTACCTTTATATTACAAACATAAATAAATCAATAAAGAATATAATTTAATAAAAAAAAAAAAAAATAAAAATAATAGGCCTAATTCAGTTTAGAAAGAAATGTAACTAGTTTCTGCGATCGGCATACTAAAAAAAATACCAATGGTAAATTTTCATCTAATTAGTCATGAAACTTAGTAAGAATTTTTCAGCAATTAACTTCCCAGATTTTAACAAAGTTTCTGATAAATATGCTAATTAAATATCATTTTCTTTCAAGGAAACAACTTCATATATAACCAGTGTACACTATGTAATTTATCCTGGTTTTCCTTTTAAAGAATCCGATTATTCGTGACATATCATAATTCAATCATTTTGTATTTCTGTCATAAATAAATAAATAAACAAGAGCATCGGTACCGCTGCAATATACGTCCACATTCCAGGGGATCGGAACATGCACCAAAATAAATAATTGCTGTCTTTACCATATAAGGAATAAATATGCAAAGTTCCAAGATATGCATTCAGAATTCCAGCCTATAGACAAACAAACACACAAATTGGGCGTGGCTCAGCCCCTGGGGTTTGGATATGAACAACCCTATGATGGATCATGCCGAATTGGATCCAAATCTGTTAATAATTGCAACCTGTAGATTATTTACAGACAAAATATTAACAAAAGGTGGATGTGGCACCGCCCAAGCGTGGTGGATCATGCACCGAAATCAATAGTTGCGGTCCTTAAGGGTATAAGGAATAATTATACCAAGTTCCAAGATAATCCATTCAAAATTGTGGAATTCTGAATCTAAAAACAATAAATAAGCGTGGCTCTGACCCTGGGGGTCTGGGCTTGCACCAAAATCAATAGTGATTGATCATCCTTGGGGTATTCTTAGTGTATTAAGAATAGGTATGCAAAGTTTCAAAAGGATTAAAAAATTGCGATCTGCAGGCCGGATATGCACCAAGAAATAAAAGTGGTCATCCTTCGGGTATAAGGAATAAAGTAGCTATAAGTCTCTAACTCAATATCATCCAAAGTCTTCGACATTGAAATCACGAATTATTTGTCAATTTAAATCAACATTGATGGTGTGGTCTTACACGGCTTCTGATATCTAATATTTAAGACAAAATAAACATTTTACCATTGGTATACGAATCGTTTGCCATGATGTGTTTCAGCGCCATTTGTAACAAGGGACTCCAAAAACGAGACTATACATATTCCACAAGTTATATCAAACGCTGACGCCTTATTCAGATCTTGAGAGAATGCGCAATAAATACTATCAGTGTAGGCTGAAATAACCAGGCACTAGACAGCCATTCGATTGAGACTGATGGCGTGTTTCACCAAACATCACTGATTTGAAATTACATTATTATATTCGTTGCTATACCCGTTTGAGTCAATTTCTAGGTCCCAAATATTAACGATTTAGCCCCTTTAAGTATGAAAAGATTTCAAGACACACTAAGAGAAACTGGGCGTGACTCTATCCCTGGCGCTTGGGCTTGCACCACATAGAATAGAGATGATCCTTAGGGTATAAGGAATAAGTATACAAAGTTTTATGATGATCTTTTAAGAAATGCGACCTGTAGACGACAAACAAATACAAGCAAATGGCCGTGGCTCTGCCCTTGGGGTCGGACATGCACCAAAAACATCAGGGATTACCTTAGGGTATAGAATAAGTATGCAAAGTTTCAAGATAATCGACTAAGAATACTGTAGGCGACACACACCCAGACAGGGGCGACGGCAATATACGTCCACTTTATGAAAGAAATCGTTGGATGGACCGCTTTTAATCCGATTTAATCTAAGCCGGGAGATTATCTACCGTTTAGGTAGCCGCGGTGACTTAGTGTGTAAGGCACTGGCTCGCTAACAAGGCGGTCTTGAGAAAGTTGTCAGTAGCGCAGTTCGGAGGTCATGCGATGGGACTAAAATCCGAGGTCTCGTGTACACACAAAAAAGGGAAATCCTTTACAGCTGGAATTAAAATAGCGCCCCTTTCGGGCAAAATTTCCCCCAAAGCACACTGTATCACATAAGCCCGTCTTCATTAGCCCTATCGAGGCACGTACAGTAGGACGTGAAACCCCATTCCATTTCAATTATCTACCGTTGATATTCTGATTTTGCTCTCTTTATTACAAGCTCAATTAAAATTAATCTGAATACATCTAAGCGTCGAATAAGATACAGAAAATTTGATGTTTTCCAAAAACATATATTAATGATGCATGCACCTTAAAGTAATTATTAAAAGTCATATAATTAATTATACTGAAAATCAGATACACTGACATTAATAAACCATAACGTTGCCGCAATGTGCCATTGTCGCTATATAATATTATAACTTATAACAATCTATTTATTTGTAAAAATTTATATTGATCACTGAATTCATAGTAAATTGTAAATTACATAAAAGGAATAAGAGGAAACTCAAAATGTACCTACCAGCTAAAACCACAAATATCACCAACACCTTCATTTTTAGTTAAATACGTTTTCGTGTGCGTTACAAATCTTAAGTTTGAAATACCAGCCTCTTCTGAACATGTTTCGACGACTTGGTCTGTATATATACACGACATTAACCAATGAAACGTCAGTTTATATTTAAACCATGACCACCAATAAAACTTACTTCAGGCCATATAGTTATAATAGACAATATAAATTAATGGAAAACTCCGGGACGTGCTAGGAGGCTGGTTATATTTCGCAACGTTGTTTTCCTTATCTAAACAAATCGATTTTGTCGAACTTAAATATGTTGCGATTCGGAATGTTGCAAACTGTGTTAATGTATGCGATATCTAGAGGATTTTGAAGAGATTCCACAATCATCAATAATTAACATATCTGTATCATTTAGATGATTAGTAACCGAATAATATCATTCTCCCTTATTTCATTGGATAGCTCAAAAGCTTGATGCACTACTCGATCTTCAGGTCCGTAGCTAGCGCGGACGGGGAGGGGGGGGGGGGCAAGGGGACAGCTGCTACGATCTTAGATAAGATAGGTAAAATTGGGTTTGCCTGTAAATCCGGGCCCTAGGGCTCGCCGCCTGTCCGATCTAGGTTCAGGGATGCAAGCACGCAATGTTCTCCGGACTATGCGTTGTTGTGCCGTTGACCTTGTCAAAAAACTTTCCCACAGGAGCCCCCAACATCCTTTCACGTAGGAACGTCCGACTAGCAGTAACTCTTAGGATCACGTCTGTTTGGTCTTGGGGTAAAACCTCAAGTCTTCACAGAGTAGAACACTTTTTTCGTCCCTCCGGGGTCACATCATAATGTTTAGGACACCAATCTCACACACGAAATCGTAGATTAACTCATAGATCTCTCGTTTTGCATATTCTAGGATAGGATAGAGTCGTGTTAAGGGAACTCAGTTTATCCCGTGACAATATTTGATTGTCGGGCCACACATAATGCATAATGCCGAGGGAGATTGGTTGGGCGCACACAACTTGATCAATGTGGCGCCCAAAATGACATAATTCATTGATTGGTGGGGTGTCTCATCCCAGAAGGGCACCCATGATGCCGAGATTCATGGGCCGCCCACGACAAAATCTACCAGGCATAAAATAGCCAACTGGAGATTGTAGGAAATTTTCCAGGTCAAATTCACGATGGGGAAGAGGCGTGATATCTTCAAAAATCAAACAAGTCGCATAACCCAATTCTGAACTTTTCCTTTTTCTCATAAATTATTATAGGTACGCTAAAGTCGTATGTCTTCCTTTAAATTTTTATGATGTTCATTTCAAAATATCATAATACGCCAATATCACAATTGAAATTTTCCGTCATTTTCCTATTCTCAGGTGCAAACCCTTTTTTCAAAAATCTCCAAAGGGATGCTCATCCACGGTGCCGTTCGTGGTGGACCGTTAAGTGTAGGTACATTGGCCCCACCAGAAGCCCCATCGGCGTCCTTGCCCCCGTACCCCCCCCCCTCACAACATTTTTGGGCTAGCTACGGGCCTGGGCCCTGTTTCACGAAATTTTAACTAAAGATAAAATCCAAATTTTAGTAGATGCTTCAATTTTGATTGGCTAAGCACTAAAATCAATCTAATATTATCCAATCAAATTACTAAAATTTGGATTTTATCTTAGTTAAAATTTCGTGAAACAGGGCCCAGATCTTTATTTATAATTCGGGTAAGCTTAGATTTGCTAGATTTGGTGGCTTTATTTTATACGGAGTTTTTGCTGGGGGATGGTCGTGTTCCCAAAATAGCTGATCCGTAAAACAAAAATAAATGGTTTCGACCAGAATTTTCTACAGTTTTTCAAATATTGTATAGGACATCACTCCACGCGCTTTAAAGGAGCTAAATCGGTAACATTTGGGACCTAGAAATTGACAAAAGTGGGTCGCAACGCATATAATACTGTAATAAAAATGTATATAAACTGATTTACATTCAATGGCTTCCGTTTTTACTCCAATTTCAAATCAGTTATGTTCGGCGAAATAAGCCAGCAGTTTCAAGCGAGTGCAAATTTCTAGCGTCCGGTTATTCCAGTCTACATACGCCGTTTGATTTGGTGCAATGTGTCTAGCCTCGTCCCTCGAGTCTCTTGATACAACTGGGGCTGAAGCGCATTATGGTACACGATTCGTGTACCAATGGTAAAATGTTTATTTTGTCTTAAATATTGGTAAGATCACAACATCAATGTTGATTTAATTTGACAAATAAATCGTGTTTTCAATGTTGAAGATTTTGGATGATATTGAGTTAGAGACTTAGCTACTTTAAACTTCACACAGACTAATCCTGAGACACGACCTGTTGATTTGGCGAGTTCGTGTGTGATCTTAGTCACATCTAAGTGCTGTTCTAACCATATTCCTAAATACCGATATAAATCAGCATAGTCGATCGTTTGGTTTCCACATTTGAAAATGTAGTCTTACACTGGTCCGGATATGTTTATATTTGTATTTTGCTTAGTTGCCTATTTATGAAAAAGCGTTCATAAAATGAGGTCATTGCGAAATTAAACCATCCAACGTCATACATAACAACACCTTACTTAATAGCATAGATATATTTTAAGATAAAAGATCAAAATCATCTAAATTAAGAGGAAAAAATAAATGTGCTGCTAAAGCAATATACTTTAAAGTGTTTGATGAAATATCGCTCTTTTGACCTTTTACTTGTTTTTTCGAGCCGGGGGCATGCGAAATATTTTTGTTATATTCCTTGAGTAAAGAAGATGGACTATTGTACATATATATTTATTTATGGCCTGAATTCTCTATCTTGATTGTTATAAGATAAACATCACGTTTTGCAACCATGGACAACTAAAACAACAGCTTAGCTCTTACGAAATATGTTGTGTAACCATAAGCAACTAAAGCAAACACACGGTGTTGTAAAGTTCAAGAATCGATGATCCTGGAAAAAATAAAATTATCAAAAACCAAGGTCGGTTTTTAGAGAAACGGTCAAAACTATTAAAATCTGAAAGGTAACATGCAGTCACGTGTTTTTAGAGAGACAGTCAAAACTATTAAAATCTGAAAGGTAACATGCAGTCACGCGTTCAATGGCACATAGCTCTATTCTTTGGAACCTTAACATAGACGGAAATGGGCATAAATACATAAATATGAGTGCATATCAATTGATTTACATTCAATTTTGTACTTTTTTTATTGTAATTTCTAATCCATTATGTTCGGTGAAATACACGAACAGTCCAAACTGAACTTTGTCAACACTACATGTTTTCTGGGATATTACCAATCGTGCTGAAAACCAGTATGTCCATAGTATAGACGATATGCATTTGTTTAAATATTGGATATTAGTATCCCGTAGATAAGGTAACAACATCAATATTAATTGAAATGAACCAATATTGAATATTTTGAATATTGAATTAGAGTTTTAAAAACAATTAAAACAAATTTTAAAAGAATTTGACTCTGGAGCGCCAAGTTCATCGTAAACTATGAATATTATTACTTTAATAGCCTGGCCCCGAGTTCACAAAGCATTCTCAGACATGAGTTATAGAGTTAACTAAAAAGTGTTCGCCTTATTTTCACTAAATTTACAGACATGAGTTATAGAGTTAACTAAAAAGTGTTCGCCTTATTTTCACTAAATTTACAGACATGAGTTATAGAGTTAACTAAAAAGTGTTCGCCTTATTTTCACTAAATTTAGAGGCGAGTAAATTCTTAGTCTGAAAATATTTATAAACTCGGTGGCTGGTCTGTAATAAGCCACTTTACGCCCGTTGTGTAGTCAAATTTGTTTGATTTCCATTCGCAATGATTGGTCACAACAAGAGTCGAAGTGGGTTTAATTATTGTGAGTGAAGAAACAACGTTAAGTGTTCAGGTAAAAATTACAAGTAGACCTCTAATATACGACAATAAAATCACGCATTAGAATTCAGGGGGTTGGATGGCCGAATGGTTAGCACGTGCGCGCTGTATAATAAGGTCTGTCATTGAGTCAACTGGCGTGGTTTCGATTCCACGGTTGTACGTGACAAGGAGTAGAGTCGCCTGTCCAACCTCGTGGGTTTTCTCCGGGTTCTCCCACTACTAAAGTACTAAAGACCCGTATGCGCAAGCGAATTATTGAAATAAAAATTGAACTATGTGTTAGTCCCGAAATGACCTAGTTTGTGTCGTGTGGACGTAAAACTCCATTTCTCTCTCTCTTGCATTAGAATTCAATATTGATCCACAACTACAATAACTCAGCCATCTATCAGTTACTGATTTCTTCTTTACAATTTCTTCCATCGATGTATATGGGCTAACAATTGAAAAAAAACAAGGAAAGAGTGATGCTTCTTTAGATAAAAAAAAAGCACTCTCTAGCATTAATGATTTCCTATAAATCCATTAAACAAGGAGCGGACCTCTAATATACGGCAATAAAAGACCGATAAACCGAGGTCCAGTGTAGACAATCTGTCTTTTTTCAACTAATTTTAATCCGTAGCTTCATACCAAAGTTACACTGTCCGTCTACAATTAGCTCCGTTTAAAAACAAGGCCCGAAACTATTTAACGGACATTTTAATTCCTACTTAGACGATTTCAGTGGATATTCTTCGATAATTGAAAATATTTATTTCATTTTATAAGATTAAAATTTTTTTATACAAATCGCCGTAGAAATTTTTGGCTAAGACAAAAATACATTTCGCGTATGACAGTTCTTAAATAGTATCTCTTAAAGGGCCAATCTCGATTATAATTTTTGGAGAATAGAAGTGCTTAACTTTGTGTTAAAAGCCCTTAAAATCCTCTATTTAGGGCCGAGCAACTAATTCAATATACGTGATACGTTTTCTAAGCACGTATACCCGTCAGTCTTTATCTGAAAATGGAGACTGGTGTCCCAAGCTGTATTACACGGTGTCCGGATAAAACTAGACTTTTACTTTATAAAAATAACGTGTAGGTGAAAGAAACTTACCTTTCGTTATCAAGTACAGCACTTGGGTCATGCACTGTATATATCTCCTATAGGAAAGGCAATTGATTATCAGGTCACCCAACGA